CAATACAATGATTGACAGAAATCAAGTCTTCATTGATTTTTTTGAAGGAAAAAAAAAGAAAGCAAAAAAAGAAGTTTTAAAGGCTGACAAAGTCATATTCTTGTATCATGTGATAAAATTTAAAGCATCAGAACATAGATTTGTTTTAAGAATAATTGTAAAAACGGGCACACCCATTGTCCAACACAGCTATTAACGGCACCATTGATATCATATAAGTTTTTTTTTTAATCTAGAGGACTCTGAACTTGACAGATACGTTTTCGTACACCCACACATTCCTCACAATTGCACTTTACATGTCACGAGAATTTCTGAATGATTAAAAATGTTCCTTTTCACTAACACAAGGGCAGCTATTATTACTTACCATTGTTATTATTGAGATTCTGAAACTCTGCCAAATAACCTGGGCTGGAGCCCCACAAGGATGGTGGAGGCTCTCAACCTTTCTTTCTCCACCTAGTGGTACCAAACAACCATGTACCTTAGAAGTGCACCGCTCAGGGGAGGGGATGCGGGGAGTTTTTCCCCAAATGCTGGAAATCGGGTTTCACTGCCTACTCTCCCTATGAAGACAATTGTATCTAATTAAGTCCATTCCACGTTCTTTTGGGCTCCGTGTTCTGCACCTGAAGGCGAAATTGCACTGGTTCAGCTTTATCTTTTTGTCACATCTTTAATTGCAAATCTATTTCTTCTTCCTTCCATTTGCTTCTCTTCTCTTAAGCAAGAAACGGGGGAAATGAGCCTGGCATTTTTATTTGTTTGCTGTTTTTTGTGTGTGTGGTCATTAGAAGTGTTCATAATATTGCATCCTGTACACTGTTGCCTTCCTTGTTGAACACCTGTGAAGTGCTATTGCAGCTACTCAAACGCATTTGTCTTGAAAGAAAGAGAGAGGGAAGCTTTGGATAATAAGGGGGGAAGCAATTGGCCATGAGAATTTCTAGGAATAAGACTTATGCCAAATAAAACACATATATTCTTGCTGGTGAAGAAAAATTCATTTCTTTCCAAATTAAAAATAATAATCATGCTGCTTCTTCTGACTCCATCAGGAAGAGGTTTTAGGTCCCTGATGTTAGGTTCTGTCAAACCAGTTCCTCCGAAACTGGTGAAAACTCAGGATTAAATTGCAGATAGCTACTCCCTTATACCCTCAAAAGCTATTACTCTCTACCATCTCTTATGGGGCTGATAACTGCCATAGAGACTGCTAAGAACATGTGCCCTTTGGCCCTGAAAGCATTAACCAAAACATCAGTATGAAATTTCCAGCTCTTCCTGATCCAGCGACTGTGATAAACAATTTGGAATCGACTGTCCACTTTGGGGCTTTTCTGCTTTTTTGGCATTTTTTTTCTAAGATAGGTAGAATTTGCTGCGCTTCTTTGCTGAGGACAACTTGACCAGATGGATGCAGAAAAAGATTCTTAAAAATCAGTTTTAATGATGGAGCTCCTGGAGACCCAGAACAAACCAGATTTTGAAAACCAACTCCACAACCCATGAACAACATCCCAAAGCAGTATGAACTTCAGAGGGAAAAGGCCCTTGGTGGCACACAGTCCCCCTCCCTCCACCTTTCCTTCTGTTGAGCTACACACAACTGTAGCCCACAGCAGAAGGGCTAGGTACCTAGCTCTCTGTTAGAGTTATATATGTTTTGACAACTACATCTCCGCCCTTCCCAGTGAGAACAAGAAAGAAAACTTAAACACCCTTGATTCAACTTGCAGATGACTATATCAGGCACTTGACATTAAACTACTCAAAAACAAGCTTGGCCAGAGGCATAACACAAGTACGTTCATTCGCATCACTTTGGTGGAAGGACAAACTGTCATTGTTTTGGGAAGGGGAAACGTTTTTAGAACAACTACCTTTGTAGAACTCCTTTTAAACAATCTCTTCATAAACCTTATTTGGTTTCCACTCAGAAAACCCACAGTGTTCTATCAGTTACTTCGACTAAGGTGATACCCTTTCCCTAAGCCTTATCCCTTCCTCTCACCCACCCTTGTCAGGCTGAACATTTCTGTCTAGTAGGCCTGACCCATCCCCTGTCCATGTGTAAAGTCAGAAAGGCATGTGGAAGTGTGCATACTGTTTCTGTGGAGCAGCTGCTGCTCTACTTGCTTCAACATGTTGGGAATCAGCTCCCGTCACATGGAGTCATCCTCCCCAAAGTCACTCAGATAACACAGGAGCTGGAGTATGTCTGTTGTGAAGAAGTCACTTTCACATTGGGTACCCAGTTGCCTTGGTTCATTTCTACTTGGTGTTCTTTTATCCCAGACAGAAGGATGGGCTGGAGCATATTTTTTTTTTCTTCTGACATTTTGATGGAATAGGTGACTATCAAAGACATGTCTAGTATCCCATGAAAGTAGGCCCAGTAGAGTTGCATGGTGACCCTGAGTCCATACTCAATGGGGTTCTGATAATCTGCTCACACGAGGCGGTGAAGGGTAGTCACAACTTGTTCATTTCAAGCAGCAGATCCCCCCAACCCTTGTCAGTTCCCATGGCATCCACATTTCCTTCTATCCAAAGGAACAAATGTAGGATTAGTAGAAATCTCAGAAGTCACGCTTATGTCTCATACAATGCTTGACACCAGCCCAATCCCAGGTGCCGAGTGTGGTGACAGATCTGAAATTCATATACCCGACCTGTAATTCTGACTTTGTGCCTGCTCCTGATTGCCTCTGGAAGCTGGAATAAATAGGCTGCTTTTGGCACATCATTTATGCTCTCAGAGTCTCATTCTTGGCAGCTCCCTAGGAAATGCAGATGTCTGTTTACAGCTGGCAAGGAAAGTATTAATTTTGATCACACCAGCTCTATCTCTTATGACAGTTCTGAGTTTGATGCCAAGGAAGCCTGCCTTTGTATATATGTGAATATGTATACACAGGTATATAAGTACCCACTGTGGGTATTGTATTCATGTGGCCATGGTGGCACAGAGTGGAAACTTATACTGGATCAAGTGATCTGTTAAGCTTTAAGGGAACTGAACTCTAGTGGAGCCCATGGTTATTAGTTTCTGGAGGTGAACCTGAAAAGGGTCCCTGAGGGAGGCAAGACATGTTTGTGAGAAAGTCACTGTTGGTACTTTTTTCTCAACCACTCAGTAAGCCAGTCCCTACAGAGATAGATCCCTTTGTGGCCTTCAATGTTGTTCATTTGAACTGCGGGTTCCCTGGTTGGCTGAGTTCCTCTTTTCCCAGGAGACAATGCTGAGAGGCTGGATTTGATCTTACTCGTACACTAGGCCTGCTTTGAACACAGAAACTTGGGGACATTCATTCCCGAAGCACTAGAGAAATGGCCTAGGAAACAGTATTGCTGACACTCCCCGCCTCTGTTTGCCATGTTGTGTTAATCAAGTGCTTGGAAATTAAGTCAGTAGCTCAAGTGCCCTCAGCTTAGAAGAGCTTTCTGAAACAAATAACAGAGTTGTCAACACGCGCGCCATGTAATTGGTCTCCATCAGCCCTTTGCTGGATAATTTTCAAACAATTCAAATCAAAACTGGAGCAGAAGGGAGATGTTTAGCTCTTATTAGTTATCACACCTCGGCTGATGGACTGCTGTCTTCCCATAGAAGGAACAGATACGTGGTTTTCGCCCGCCAGGTTCTTTTTGCTAATGAAAGCCAGCCACCAAGAAGTTCCTCCAAGTTCCTGACATGTGCTTTTCTTGAAAGGCCAAGAGCAGTATGAGGTTGGTACCTTAATCTTCCAGCTGTTAAAGGAGAAATGCAGCAAAATCAAGGCTTCTCCAGGGTTCATTTGCTTCCCGAGAAGGTGCTTCAGGAAACAGTCTCTCTGGGAATCATGAGTGACTGATCTTTAGATTGCAACTTTGGTCCATCTGTTCACAATGGATAATTTGAGTGGATGGGTCTCCACATGCCCAAGGATGCATGGCATAGGAAATTGCTCTTCTGTAGAGTTAGCCTGCAAGATCACTGGCTTGCACATAAGAAGTTGCTAGGCAGATCTGAAGATGGCAATGTCTCTTGATGGTGCTGGAGAAATGGAGACAGTGGCATGGACACATATGACTAGAGGTTAATACGGCGATGAACTGAGAGGGAAGAGTGTGTGGGGGAAACAGAAAACAGCTAGATAATTATATTGATGTTATGATAAACAGAGCGAATGGATTGCGAGAGAGAAAGACAGGTGGGTAGAATTAGAGGGAGAGAGAAATCAATTGAATAACTGGATCATAGTATGATTGCTTTGATAGCTTGATAAAATAATTAGCCAGCTATTGATCACTTTTTTATGAGTTGTGACAGCATTTATGGGAAGTATTAGCATTAACATACTTCCCTCATTTTGTGACTTGACTTGCAAATTTTTAGTTTTGGGTTGTCTGCATAGTCTCAAGCCTATAATTCTTACAACTAGTGGAAGAAATGCGTAGAGGGGGAAGGCAGGAGAAGATGGCAGAATTGTACATGTGGATGGACACATATGCATATCTATGGATACAGTGAGATAGCTTCTTACAAAGAGAATGGGTGAGACCTAATGGAATCGGTGCTGAAATGAGCATGGGCATGAGGATATGTACTTTTAACTAGGGAAACAACTGAAAGCTTAAAGACAAAGACAATAAGACATGCAGATGCAACTCTTACTGTGTACTACATTGTGAGTCAAGTTATACCTTCAGGGTGTTTGACATGGGACATATTCTTTTTGCCCAATTTTTGGAGTATGTGTGTGTATGTTTGTGTGTGTGTGTGTGTGTGTGTGTGTGTGTTATGGTAGTGGGAAGAGAAAAAGAGAAAAGGAAGGCCAAGGTAGCAAGAACAGATTCCATTTTGGGGCACACCAATAAAAGATAGAACCCTGCCCACCCCAACCCCAACCCACTCTTTAAAACAAAAACAAAAACACAAACAAAAACAAAACAAAAATCAAATAAACTTGAAAAATCCCAGAAACAAACCAAAGTGTGGGGGGAGCCAACAAGAACAAAAATAAACCAAAAGAACCCCAAACTGGTTTGCCCTCCGCAGTGTAGATTAAAGTCTGTGATATGGAGAAGCAGGCGTCGCTCAGAGGACCTATGGTTTCTTATCAAAACTTGATGAAGAAGTGGGCAAAGAAAGTCCCTGAGAGCCAGAGACAAGCCAGTGCTCTAGAGGCGGAATTTACACCATCAATGACTGCTCCAGGCCCTGTGTAGGGGAAAGAGAGACAGACTCATTAGCACATAGCCTATAGGGCACCATATCTATCCCTGGCAAACAAGTGCATGTCATGCTTCTCTGTGGCAAGTATCCCACGTCCCACCCCTCTCCACTGACCCTTCTGGGTTTGGAGAGCCAGGAAATGCCCAGTGGGAAGATAAAACTCTGAAGAGAGGGGTTTATGGGTCGCTTTAACAACTACCACCTTCTCTGAAAGTTCGAGAATGAAAATGTGACAGAATGAGTTAATGACAGCCAGTTACGCACATAGGCCCAAGATGAGGGCAACAGACAGGGCTCTACTGTAAGATAAACCATCATTTTTCCATGGATAGGGACTCCAGTAAAGACAGGGTGACCAGGAAGGAGACACATATGGGTGTGAAGGAAAGGGTCCCTAGGGGTAAGAAACAAGCATTGGGGAGAAAGGAATGGAGATATTTTGCGAGTAACAGAAGTCCAGATGTGGACTTCATCCTCTCTGCGTGTAATTCGGGGGCTGGAAGGCCCCTCTCAAAGCTGCTAAGAAAGGGGAACTGGAGACTGCGAGCCGGTATATCTCAGCCACCAGTCACAGCTCTAATAACCACGAACAAAACTCTGCCTCCCTAGAACAAACCATCATCCTACAGATGGCCCAGCTTGAAAGAATTCTCTCTGTTTTCCTTCTTTCTTCTTTCTTTCCTCTGGCCCTACGGAGTCATGTATATTCCATAGAAAAACAAAACCTCAGAGTCACGAGTCAGGCTCCTTTGCCATGTTTCAGAAAGACACATCAACAACTGTGGTTACCCTCGCTCGCCTACGTCCAAGGGCTCCTGGGCAAGGGCTGAGCTCTGTCTCTTGGGCCCTTCCATGAACTTTCTTTGCAAATACTTGGAGTCGTAAGCAAGCTCCTAGCTCCTAGTCCGTAGCTCACAAGCAAATGTAGTTCCCAAAAAGCCAATTGCACGTTGTCAAAGGAGTGAGAGCCACAGAGAGATAGATGCCTGCATAGAATCAGAGGCAAAGGGAAGGAGAAGCAGACAGACAGCACACCTCTTCTGCCAATAACTCAAGCTAGGCCTCCATTGCCTCTTTGGGAAGGAAACTGACCTGTCAACAAAGAGCCATTGAGAAGAGCTGAGGCCCTTCTTGGACCAGAACCAAGCTATTGGCTTGGCTGTGAGTCTATGTCATGGCCTTGCTTAGGAAAGAGTAAACTCAGCTCTGTTTTTAGGAGTTTCCAGGACTCTTCATTTAGCTGTGTGACTATAGCTGTTTCTCCCTCAAGGATTTCCAAACAGGTGAATTTCCCCTTGATGTAACAATATGTGCAATTATATGACTAAAATGTCATAGTTATTTGATGATAGCTTGAAATTTGGCTTGCTCAGTTCTGCATTTTTACTATGGCATATTCACAAATATCAGGAGGAGCCAGGTTCTACCATGGTGCTATGGGACCCATGGAGGCAAAATATAACTTTGAAAATTAGCCCGATTCGCAGGCCCCTAGCCATGCCAGCACACACCCTAATTACTTGTATTTGCCCAAAGAATGTAAGAAGTTTGAAAATGTTTAGGTTGCAGATCAGTACACTTCTCATATTATGTCCAGGATGGGTCAGGTGTGGACAAAGAAGTCTTTCAATGTAGTCGGAGCTGACCTCAAAACTAAAATTCAACTGCTATTTCTAAGTAAGTTTATAAGGAACAAACAATGGAGATTCATAAGTCTTGTGCACCTCTTCACGTGTTTCTTTCCTAACTGGTATCACTATTATACATAGCTTTACTCCAGCAGCAACAGCATCCTGTTCCAGAAGCCACTACATGCACCAAGATCTGCAGATGCTCAAGGATCACAGACAAAATGCAAAGTGCTTTAATAAAACCTGCCTATACTCTCCCGTATATGTCACATCGGTCCTGGAGTATTAGTGTCTGTGGGTCTATGGAAATAGTTGTTACATTGCTTATCACATGACAGCAAGAAAAGAAGGCTGTACTTATTCAAGACAGATAATATTTTCACCCTCCCTCTCTTCTCATTCTCTTGTCATCCTCCTTCTCCTCTTCCTTCTCCACTTTCTTCATCTTCTTCCTCCTTCTGCTTTTCTTGTCCTGGAGATTGACTTTTACATATGCAAGACAACCACTATGCTACTGAGAAATATCTTGGTCTAAACACAAAGATTTCAGTGTGCAGTTGGTTGAACCTATAAACGAAGGACTGGACACTGAGAAGTATCCATGTACATATGTACTTTTTCTTGAAAGTATATTTTATTATATATAATAAAACTATGCATATATATAATTGGACTAGTTATGCATGTTCATGCATGTACACATATACATGTAAACTTGTGTTCAGCTCATCTGCTATGTTGATATCAATGTAGGAAACAACTGTAGCCCACGAGCCCCTCTCAAGGAAAAGGTATTTCATCTAGGAGGCAGTGTGTAGACTTAAGCCTTTCCGTGAAATGTCTGTCACTAACAGGGCTGATCTAGTTGAAGCAAAGCATAAATGAGTAAGAGATGGAGAGAGGAAGTGGAATCCAAAGAGAAATAAGTGTTTCTGGTGGTGTGGGTGAGGCGCTTGGGGCTCGCTGGTTGGGGGATGATAAGCATGTTCCTTTTGAATATTCCAGAGTGGAAACCATGAGGATGACTTAGGAAATGTATTGGAAGCTTGATGTGCTGAAGAAAATAGAGATGTGGTGTTTGTGCTATGTTCTGTATGAGCATGAGCCTAAAGGTTAATCATATATAAATCCCTTTAACCATAACAACACACCCCCAAATACATCCACTATGATTATTTCCAACTGGTAAAGTAGTACACTGAGAAACAGAACAGCTAAAGAAAATCTTGCCTAGAATCAAACAACTCATATACCTGGAACTGCAATAGAACCAATCCCTGTCCCCAAATCTGTGCCTTGCTTTTGACAACCCTTCTTCTTCTCTGATGAAAAGAACTTCATAGGTTCCAGAAACCACAGCACCATGTGGTGATGGGAGCAATGGACTGGGAAGTAGATCACATGCTTCAGTTGCTCCCTAGCAGAGTGACTCCCTTGCTATGCTTTGGGTCTATTGTTTGCAAATAGAAAGGAGGTAAGATGTGATGGTCTGTAAGGCTCCACTCCTGCTTTCTGAGCCCATGGAGACTATGCCTCTTGTGCTAGGAGGGACAGCTGGTCAGCAGCCAGACAGCCATGGGCAGGTAGTGTGAAGTATCACCACGTGACTTTTGGTACCAATGCATGACCGCCCCCACCTAAGAGAGCGAGAAGCTCAGAAACATCTATAGACCTTAGAGTTTGCATTTTTGGCCCCCGTTCCTGTGCAGCTCCTGGGAGTTGTTTTCTGTTTCACAAGCATGACAAGCACCTGCTTGATGTATCAGGTGATATCATAATTTACTACCATAGCACCTTCGGTTAATCATTCGATGAAAAGTGGAGGTTGCAGCCCCATAATTAATCTAATCCACCATGATACAGATTCAAATCAACAGTTTTTTCCTCAGACAAATCCTGGACACATTTGCAATTTGGCTGCTGGTCCTAGTAGCAAGAATGGTACTCTACAGGATGGCTCTGAGGCTTTGTTCAGAGTGGGAAGGCAGTGGCTCACATCCATGGGCCTCTATGTTGGAGGGCCATGAGACAAAAACACAGCCACAATGAACTGCCTTTTAACTTGCGTCCTTACAGTAACCCTGCTTTTCTGAAAACAAGGAAAAGAAAGCGTCTGAACTGGGTTGCTCCCTCTAGGCGCCTATATGCCACCGTTCGCTGATTTAGACAAATCTTTGTGCTAGAATACGGAAAAGGAAAGGATTTATATAGTTTAACCAATTTGATGGGCACCCATGTTGTGCTGGAGCTCACCTTTGAACCTTAAGATGGAATTGGCTTTTGCCTGTACACATAAGTTCGGTGAGTCAGGAGGCATACTGCACTTTAGGGGCCGGGAGAAACTTCTCACCCAGAGCTCACAAAAGCCCCACAAACATCTCCTTTACTTAAGTCCGGGCTTCTTTGGGTACCAGCTGCACAGGCTTCTCCAAGTACGGAGCAGCTAATACCAGTTTTAACTTGAGCAAATGTGATAAAACATCCAACTGAAGTTCAGGTTTGTTTCTTGATTTATTTTTTTCTTGTTAGACTGATTATTAGTGGAAATAGCCTGGAACGTAGTTTTCATTTAAAACAAAGACTCTGAGATTTGGGAGTAGAAGGCAGAATTTTATTTGCTCCGATCAGCAAACTGGCACCAAGATGTGGCTGCAGAAAGGGAGAGGGTCTGGAGAAAAGGTAGGACTACAAGATGGAACAAGGGACAGGTCCATGGAAACATGGGTAGCAAGTCTCTCAACAGAGAAAAGTATTCTGGCCACTCTGTCTCCTTGGTCTCTCTACCTTGTCTATGAGGTCTAAAAAAAGATTTGGGCTAAAGTCATTGATAGTTCACAAGTGTAAGTAGGCTTCTTAACTTTTGATTCAGCCCAATTTAAGTTTACATCCTCATGCTGGCTTGCTATCTATGTGGACTTAGATGAGGTACTTTGTGTTTGCTTGTTGCAAATCAAAATAATTAGATGGTGTGTACAGGAGTTGAGTGGTTAAGACAGTGCCTGGGACATAGTAATCATGGAGCTGAGGTGGCTGTTGCTGTGGATTGATGGTTTGTACTCTGGCCTCTTCTATATCTTTACTGGAATAAACTCTATATTATTTAGACCCTCCACAAGAACTTGGAATGCTGTTTTGGTACTGAGAAGGAGTTTAATGGTCAGAATAACCACTGTTGGGAGGGACCAAGGCTATAAGGGATTCAGAGGGTGCTGAGCACCAAGGATGAGGGAAAAGGACCCACAACCAAGCTTTGTAGCCCAAGGCCAGAGTCAAAGAGCCAAGAAGGAAAGAATAGGGGTCCCAGGTCAGCCTCAGAGAGATCACAGTACTTGCCAAATGTCTGCTATGTCATGC